CTTTCTCTGGAGGTTAAGATACAAATCATTATTAAACAAGGCTAAGATTTTCCATATCAACCAGTAACAATAAAACAAAAGGGTGGGGAAGTGCTCCTCTTATACTGTAAACTTCATTAGACTTAAACAGAGCAAAGAGGAGGATAGAAGATTTCATTCAAAACTCAGTTTGGTCTCAAAAGGATTAAGATAAAATATAAGAGGGGTGATTATCATGATTAGCTGCTTGAGCAGTTCTCAAGATTTCCCCACCTGGTACTGATGAACTGAAGGTACTGGCTTTGCTACTATACCTTTAACAGTGAGAGTCTAACAGGAATAGCATCAGAAATTGTTCAACATCCCCAAAGAAATACACCATGATTACTCTGAGGTTCTACAGTTGTTTTTTAAGGCAGGCTAACTGTCTGCAATGGAAATGCACTGTGTTTACTTTAGACTGTAGGTTTAGAAATTGGGGAATAACTGGTCTAGAGGGAATGTCACCAGCTCTATCTAAAAAAAGCCTCAGATATCTTGGGATGGCTTTGCTACCTAAGAGTTGTTGCCAACAAGCTCCATTCAGAGATCTGATGCAATGTCACAACCTAGTTCATTCAGCTTTATAGAAAGAAACTTATGTATATCGGAAGTGAATAACAACTGGAGCCAAGGAATAGCAAATAATGTGCAATTAGTAAAGAATACCTACTAGTCAAGCATGCAACTGTTTGTAAATAACTAATGTAAAAAAAAAGTATCCAGGGAGGTTAAGATGCCCTTAAAATGAATGCAAAGAACAGAAATGAGTGCTCTTTCTAGGTAGCCCTCCATCGATAGCATTTGCTAAAAAGAGCTGAACATACAAAGAGATCTATGAGAAAGCTTAGTAGCAAAAAATTAGGAAGAAATAAAATAAACGAAGAAATAGAGGCTTAAAGAAATTAGCCTACAACTAGGAGTCTCTCTCTGGGTGGTACGAATGGTTAAGAAACTCAGCTGCTAACTAAAAGGCTCCAGGTTTGAGTCTACCCAAGTGCACCTCAGAAGAAAGTCCTGGCCATTTGCTTCTGAAAGAGGAGCCACTGACAGCCCTAGAGAGCACAGTTCTGCACTGGCATATGGGGAAACCAAGGTCCCAATCAACTTTGGCAACCAGCACTGACTGGTACTAGAATTAGCCTAAAATTTAAAGGAGAACAAACAGTCAATATCCCTTGTTAACACAGACACCCCCCCTACCCCAAGGTTTTAGACAAAATTTGAGCCTGATATTTCCTATGCTTGAAATACCTATCTCATCAATGTCTAACTTTCTTTCAGCATAACTTCCTATTTTTTCCATAAAATAGTCTATAACCATTCGGGACTATGTCTGTAAAGGCCTCTCTACTTCATAGCCACCCTTCATACTTAAAGATACAATCTGGTCCCTGATCAGACATCAAATAATTTTCTAATTGCACTGCTTAAATACTTGAAAGCATACGAAGTTATACCGCAATTCTACTTGTACAAATTTGTAGCTATGGAGTCTACAGTGGGCCAAAGGAGGAGATTTTGTTTTTCACTATCTACTGGACATTATTATTTTTAACATCAGGTTTAATAACCTCAGAAATCTGGCAAATGAGATGTGTCTGTAAATGCACTCTAAAACTTTGAAGTACTACACAAATGAAGAATATTATGAAAGCTTGTTCATTCAAAATGCCGCTTTCATTCTTTTCCTTAGGAAGCAGGAAACAGCAACTAGAGAGGACAGGTAAGAAAAGATGAATAGTTTTCTGATGTACATTTAATTTGTTTCCTTATCAAATTCTGTATCATTTAAATGTCACTCTGCTGTTATACAGTGACGAATTCATTATTCCTTGTTTTAAATTTTTAAAAAAAATTCTCATTCAATTGCTAGGGTCTGAAAAACCACGCTCAAATAAGAGAGCATGAAATCATGATCAGACTGAATAGGCTCAAATACCAATGAGGCAGATACATTCAATGACAGGAAAGAAAACGTCCTTGCTGCACTGTACTAGGGACGGAGTCCCTTTTTGCATGGGGATGTGCCCTGGTCCTTGAGTTTAGCTTCTTTCTCTAACTTCTGCCATTCCTTTGAATATGTTCATCTTTGACTTATAAATGGTATAATTATCATATCAATTAATAAACTAGAATACTGAATCATGACTTTAAAAAGTTTACCCAGGGTACAGGATAAAATAAAACCTGTCTTGTTGCAATACCAGGGGGCTTCAAAAAGGATATGAAAAAAATAGATTATCTTTAAAAATTTGCACACATATTTTGAAGCCCCTTGTTTGCCTGAAGGAAAATGTGGACTAGTAAGAGTAGCATGTCCAAATTTGGTCCATAAAAATTAAATACATCAAGCCGAGAGGGGGGCTAGGTAATGCTGCTGAATGGGAGAAATAATTATGAGCAGAAAAGACACGCAGTAAATCAGGCCTAAAAATCCTATTTCCCAAATTGGAAATGCGTTAATAAAAAGACGAGGAGTCAATAAGACCAAAGGTAAGGGGAGAAGGAGCTTAGCCAATTTAGGAAACATCTTCCTAATAATGAGAGTGTCCTAGGGTGGAGCTGGTTGCTATGGGGCAGTGAGTTCTCAAGAGGGATTTTGAGGACAGTGTGGCATACAATTCAGGGACTCAAGCATCAATAAAAATGTTATATTCTATATAGTTTCTAAGACTAGCCTTCAACTCTGAAATTCTTTGATTCTACTTTAGGATTCTGGAAAGTATATGCAAAATGACATGTCTTTAAGGGCGCTTATTCATATCTCATTGCAGGTCAATATATCTCCTCTGCAAACTTAACTTCAGGCTTTCTGTTTATAATTTGAATATCTCAAGAGTTCAAACAGAGTCACTCTTTAAGAGCATTCCTACTACACATACGTTTTAAGTATGTATAAGACAAATTTCAGAGAGACAAAGATTTTTAGCATAGGGTATGAAAGAATTGTTTTCCTCATGATGATTCCATCTACTGAACCCTGCTAATATTGAACTTGAGAGGTAGGGAAGTTTTTCAAATAAGCTACCTTAAAAAAGTATCCCTTTGAGCTGTTCCAATAATGACAGACACAAGTGGAAGTTAGGTGACAGATTAAATAGGAAGAGGCATACTTTGCAATCAGTGAAGTTTTGAAGTGTTGTTGTTTCTGGCATTAAAACAACATTAAAGAAATCCTGGGAGCAAAAATGAAATAGAAAATAGGAACATAAGCATAAAAAAACAGTGCTTTCTGAGAGTTCACACGCGCTTGAGTATTCTTGCCCTGCTCAGATCCACCTTATTTTGGCTGTGCTTTCTAACTTACTCCCCGGGTTCACATTTTCTGTGAACACTAGATGCTTCCCATAGGGACCAAGACCACAAACTAGAGAGAAATACCACGCTTCTCATGAATAGTGAGAGGGGCAAATATTTCCCCCCTGGTTGTGTTCCTCCAATGAAATTCAGTTCCTGCTTTCTAAGAAAAGTCAACTGACTTAGAGGATTCTGAAAAGGAAGGGGGTGGGGTGGGGGTGGGGAAATCCAACAGATGCCACCCGACAATAATTCCAACTCCCATTCTTAGACTTTCAACCTTACATACGTCAAAGGGTTAAACCCCGAGTGTCTCACTGCATTGCGAATCTACAGGTGGAAGGTCTAAGGTGTGGGAAGGGACACTAGGTTCCATGTGTGGCCATACTGGGAAAGCCCTCATGTGTAAGAGCACGCCCACCCAGCCTCCAAATATTAAGTTGACACACGTTTCTGGGACGCGGCCTGAATCCTCAAACTTTGGCGGGTCTATAGAGACACAATTTTCTGTTTTCTGCTTCACAGGGCTTTCCAGAATTGTCATCGGATGACAGATTACACTGCCCATCCACAAGGATTCAGGAGTAGTTCAGGCCATCCATTATGGGTTAAAAGCTGTTCCAGCATGAATCGAGGCACAGTGGTAAGGAGACTATCGATACAAGGGGTCCTACAGCTTTAAGAAATACTCTGGGCATCTAAAAGTTTTCAGAATGCAAACTATGTCAGCTCTGAAAACAAGAGGCACTGCATCATTATGGCAGGAGAAACAAAGCAAGCCCCCTTTTTAAGTCAGACAAAAAAAAAAGATTGTTTTAATAGGAGAGAAGCATCAGTCATTGAATTCTTACTTCATTCACACTTTCTATCCAACCCCATCCATCTTCAGAGTGAAGAGATGACAGAGCCCAGTTAACTCTCTCCCTCTTTAGGCCCCCACCCATTCTGCTCCTCTATACCCAAATCGCCAGGGCCTACCAACAAACTCATTTCACCCTGTGAGCCACGGCCCTGCCAAACTGCTCTCCCTATCGGATGGACCCGCCAAAGCTCAGGTACGCCTCAGTGCCAGCTTTCATCACCCTGCTAGAATACGGCTGCCTGCCAGAACAGTATGAGGGGTCAGGCCTTTGCTACTCATCTCCATAAATGACCACTGAGTCACTCCTGGCTGACCACATTCTATGGAAAAGGGATGGGAAGACGAAGGCAGCAGGAATAAGTCAACAAATCAAACCAACAAACGAAATGTAAAATAATTTCATTCTTCTTGAACTCTGCTACCCACATTATCCACAAACAAAAGTTCTCCATACAGGCAGTCTCTGCATCAGTGCACCTGCTTAGCATTGGTTTGCAGAGTTATCTTTTCGCTGTGTCTGCAGAAGCCAACTACAGCACAATGGGTCGCATCACTTGAGGGTCACTTGAGTCTCTCTACCCTCTGGGTCCCTCCTCCCACCCCCTGCTTTCCCCTCTACCCACAAAATCTTTAACTCCACCATAGCTAAGGATCCCAGATAGCTAAATAAAAGAGGTGGCCTCAAACACAGGGAAACCCCTTAGGTCTCCAGTGTGAATCGCCAACGCCATCCCCCCTTCCCTCCCCTTTCCTTAAGACCTGATGGTCTTCAGTCACACATCTTAAAAGAAAAACAAAAAACAAAAACACAAAGACTTACTTGTCTCAAGTCGATGAAGGCCAACTGCAGCGTGTCCTCCTGGAACCCAGGCACCGGGCCGGATCTGGCAAACTCTGTGGGAAAGAAAAGAGGATGAAAAGCGCCTTTAACTAACCATGGACAGGGAGATTGGCAGACGGATGACAGGGAAGACAAGAGAGGCTGGGGGAGAGGAGGACCAAGCTTCTAAGGAGTCATGTCTCTCTCCCTTCAGCTTCTTTGTTTGCCCTTCAAAATTCGTGTCATCAAAACACCATTAATTCCAGCGTCCTGACAGCAAGGAAACTGTACTAATTCGACCTGAAATTTATTCCCATGAGCTGCGCTGGGCTTCAGAGTATTTGTTTCGTGAATGGACAAACAACTTGCAAAAGAGGAGGGAGGGGGAGAGAGAAAAAAGTTTTTCCTCTCAACACAATAAAATCTTCAGCTGTGAAACTCTTTTCAGTTCCGAAAGCTATTTATATTTTAGATCGCTGAAGGAATTTTCTAATTTCACGCCTGTCACCTCGTTCCCCAAGCATTTGTCAAAAAATATTCCCTGCAACATCGTTAATTATTCCCTCACTGATTATTTGTATTATCTCATGAGTGCATTATTGCCAACATACACTCACTCACAACACACACCTCAGCAGTAGAAGCTGCCCCAATATACTGCCTAGCTTTTGAGAAAAGGACTATTTGCAGATATGAAAATAGCGATCTGAATAAACCTCACTGCAAAAACTTAAGATCATTTTTACGTCCTTAACCTTCTGATGTATTCTTTGTCCTTGACTTCTCCTTCTATTCCACTCTCAACAATTCTCTCTTCATTTCTCTCTACCTCCAGGAGACCACATGCACGTTACTTCGTTACTTGGAATTTACAGTAGTGCCTTGGGTACTTGCTCCGTTTATGACTCTGGCTTCAGCATCATTAGCAGGAAGATAACAGCATAGGGCTATAGGGACAAATACTGGTAACAGTTAAGAATGTCAAGTTTTATTGCCCCTGAGTCCTGCTTATTATGAAATTAAAAGGTCTTGAATAAGTTAGCTACACACACACAGACACACACACACACACA